CTAGGTGAGAAATGAAACCAAGGTTTTTCTTGGTGTTTCCATAGCGGATCGATGAATAAAAGGCACCAGATATCACAAGTACTGGCAAGTCTTTACAACCAGGGTGTTTACTGGTCTGTAGAATTTGAGTGGACGCAACCAGTATGCTGTCGAATGGGCTGTCCCCCGGCTTTTCACTGCATTCTAATATTTCAGATAACAGCGACTGGCCATCAAGAAATCCGACTCTGTCGTTGCTCTGTGTTTTGTTTTTTCAGCAGGCCTTTGTTTCCGATGGTTCCTTTTACTCGTTTACTTCAATATGTACATATATATCCATACCACTGTACTTTTAACCGTCCCCCGTGGTGCACACCAAATTACACCAAATACGTGTTCCAATCTCTTGGCTCAGTCAGGTTGCTGACCGTCTGCTGAAGGTCGACATAATCCGGCTTTATTATCTGGTGACCGAAAGTCGAGCTGACGCGACATGAAGCACTAATTGACCAATTTAGAACTTGCTAATTGGATTCCTTCGTCCTTCAATCAACCGAAATCGATGTATAGATGCCCTAATCAGTTCCACTGTTGAACCGAACTCACGGGCTTTCAGTGGTCTTACTAGGCTTCAATCTTTTTGTAATTTAGCCCCCTCGGGTCTTCAGGCTGTGTCATATTTTATCAACCTAAATAAGAGTCAGTTCGACATCTATCATGACACTCTCACAGGTACTGAACTTGTGTGTGTTGAGTTCTTCGGTTGTTGATCATAGACAGTCTGCAATTACAGTGTTAGTTGCAGGGTTTTTAGATTTCGTGCTCACAATACTCTTTTTCAAAAAATCAGTCGGGTGAATCCGCATCAAAGGGGCAGCATTGGACCCCGGTTTCGGGCATATCCTCGACCGTGACGGGGTTCGAACTCCAGGCGTGTGACACGCGAGCGGAGCGTGTTATCACTACTCATTTGAATTTTCAGGTCTGAAAAGACGAACAAGTTCACAATTGAGCGATGTGAGTGGTATGCCCGGTGGCTGGAACATACGTTGGTTGTGTCTACCGGTTGACCCGCGTGTCGGGACTTCCCAGTCAGCTAGTGCCTGCTGTACTGCTCGACAACTTTGGATAAGTTGTGCATAGTAGTGGGATTTGTAGAATGGAAGCTCAAATCACTCTCATTTCAGTTCTCAATTCTGAGTCCTTCAGGACCTTGACCGTCAGTTAATTTGACTGAATCTTAGATGTATCCAAGTGGACGTAAAATGTCGAACAGTAACTGGTTTCGTAAGAAGAAGGTTTTTACGTACCCGAGTCCATTTCGTATCTTCACTTCGAGAATCAAGGACTGTGGCCAGTGCATGCAATACTACTGGCGACACAGTTCTAGTAAATGCAAACTCTAGGTGAGAAATGAAACCAAGGTTTTTCTTGGTGTTTCCATAGCGGATCGATGAATAAAAGGCACCAGATATCACAAGTACTGGCAAGTCTTTACAACCAGGGTGTTTACTGGTCTGTAGAATTTGAGTGGACGCAACCAGTATGCTGTCGAATGGGCTGTCCCCCGGCTTTTCACTGCATTCTAATATTTCAGATAACAGCGACTGGCCATCAAGAAATCCGACTCTGTCGTTGCTCTGTGTTTTGTTTTTTCAGCAGGCCTTTGTTTCCGATGGTTCCTTTTACTCGTTTACTTCAATATGTACATATATATCCATAGTATGACCTTGAAAAATGCCGGAAGTTCGTTGGCACACACAAACTTACAGAGTTTTTTGGGGGATAATGATATCCCCGACACGCTTAGTCAATGTTTATCTAAAAACTTTAATGATCGACGTGTGAACGCGTGTAATTTGATCAATATCGTGTCGAACTATTCAACAATATGATCGTAAGTGGGCCTCGTTTCTTCAAAACCTCCGAACAAAGCCACATTTGTCTGATTTCCGCTAGAGCTTGGCTTTATTATGTCGCGAACATTGCTTCACCAAAGGAGCTGACCTCACAATTGCATTGTTTGTGAGGCGGAACAGAGCTGTGTTTCAATGAATTCACACGGTTCTGGTCCGTTTCACAGCGGTTTTTGTGACAAAACATTGGCAACAAACTGCCAAATCCATTAGACGACTACACCACCAGTCGAAGAACCTGCATTATCGACGTCTTCTTCTGCGGCATAGCCATACTGATTAGAATGCAAACAAACTAGACACTGTTACAGAGAACATGAACGCCATTCAAACTGTATACAGATTTCCACTACAAAGTACTTCAAAGTGCAGACTCATTTGCAAATCGATTGAAAAGTTGTCCTGTTTGAATCGAACGAGATACGATCTCTTCAGGCTATTGAGATGCTCCCGGGATGCAATATCTTCTCGATACGCATACATAGTACGTTATGTGTAGGCATAAACAAGCTAGTAACGATTGTTTGTGCATTCAGTTCGCTTATTGAATTTCACGGAGGCAGAAAGAGGCATCCTAACAGAATAAATTGATTCGCGTTTATATGTCACAAGTGGAATCTGTGACTATCCTTGGTAAGGTCGACACTGAATCACGTCTACAACCCTAGGTGTTTTATCCGACCTATTCCGGAGTCTAATGACCTGTGCTGGCTATCACGTTTTTACTAATTTGCTTGTCTGCCCGCCATACTGCAGTAACCTAGATTCTGACTGTATTTGAACAGCTGATGAAATGTGTGAAACAGCTGAATTCAGTTTACCTCTTCTTGCTGTTATAACGTCATCGATCTGCAGGTGCACTGGATGGAGAGGACAAACCCCAAGAACAGTGAAACTAGTCTTGAATTGCCCCAGGGTTTTCACTAGGCTTTTGAGAGAGGATCTTAATACGGAAACCGGTTATGGGCTGTCAAGGGATTTCAGCAACCTTATGAGTAGTATATCACATATATGCATGTATCGCCATTTCCCGAAGGTAGTACCAAGTGAAACATGAGATGCCCTGGTGCAGCACATTCAGTTGCTTGCAAACATCATGAAAGAGAGATTCAGCTGGGTTCCAGGTGAGCGGTTCGCAAAACCAAATGTGTCTGCAAGTAGGTGTATTTCGCCAATTTCGTTCAATTTGATTTCAAGTAGAACAAAAGGTTGAGGAAAACTCGGGGACAGTGCCTACCTGATGAGCCCAAAGTGGAAGGTCGGAACCGGTCGTGGGCTGTCGAAAAATTCTCAGCAACCTTATGAGTAGTATATTACGCCCATAAAACCTTAATATTTTACTGCATCGCCTCTCATGATTGGTTAACCTGATAAGTCGACCCCCTTCGATCTGAAGAAGTTTGTGTGCCGAAAACGAAACATCGCCCCACAATAAAGCCATGGACATTTGACCACACCTCTCGAAAGAATGATTGCAACCTTACGAGTATATACATTTTGGTTTTCTTCTTTTTCAGCGCACACTTTGGACTCCAGCGATTCAGACAGCCATCGTGATTCCGTGTGACTTTTCATCAGGTCATCGTCATCCGAATCACTATGCGTGAGCAAATTTCATAATAATCAGCAAGACCCAGATAGCACCGATAACGAAGATGGATAAATCCGCGACATGTATACACTGTGGGCCAACCAGAAACGTTGTACTTTTTAAGCCGATCATATTAACTCCTTCGATGGGTGTTTTCTTCCCCGAATAGCGCAAATAGTGTCATCGGATGACCACTACGGATAGCTGACTTCTAAAAGGGAGACCGCCCTCCATGAGGGGTCAAGAACCCCTGTCTTTGGTGTGGTCTACCTTTATGGGTAATTTAAATACCAGATCATCATGCGCTATCACTTTCTATCCATTGGCTCACCTACTTTTATTCAGTAATAAAGATGAAAAATGACATCGTTGTTAGAATTGTTGCTCAGAAACACGCACCTCTAAATTCATAAATAGGGAAAGTGCCTGTTGCGGTTCCCCGTACGGAACTTTGAGTGACGCGTAAGTTCGACAATCCAGAATATCAAAAGGAAGAATTGCGTTCGAAATCTACGGTACTGTTTACACAAGGGTAAGCAAATGTGTACAACAAGCCTTAATTGTTCATGTTCGTAGCGTCAGCAAGTCCACAGGTCTGTAACTGACCGGCACAGCGCACTGTCAAAGTCCGTACACGAAACAACGGTGAGCGCAATGGTGGCTCCTTAGCGTGGGTTGTGGTCATCCGTTCCGACGACGGTCTGGTGATTCTCATTGGACGTGCGATCACGCGGAACCCATGAGAAAACAAGTCAAGGCAGGCTCAGCAAACGGAACGTGGACGCACATGGGTAAGTAGGTCAGCAGCGCACATTCACACACAGACGCACATGGCAATACACAAGTGTCGGACGGGACGGCCTCTGCAGCAAAGCAAGTGGCGGATACGGATAAGCATGGCAACTGGAGATCAAAAGTACCTAGGCGGAGTTAGCAAATGGATGGGGTAATTATCATAAGGTCAAGTTAGATTCAACAGTCCCTCTTCGACGATGGTGGATAAACGCCAACTCCATGAGGACGCAACCCAGAAGTATCACTCTTCTACATAGAACAAACGTGTCTTCTGGGTACAGACTTACAAAAACCCAGTTTTACTAGATCATAGCAACGATACGGGGTAGATATAAATGGAAGATTTTGTCCCGCGTTCCAACCACGCCCTAGACGTGATTCTCAAAGCACCTGCTTGGTGAAATTTGAACGTTTTTGATGCCGTTTTAATATCACCTACACCCTAGAGAGATTAGACGTCTTCCGAGCACAAAAATGGTACAAAAATCTGGTCCAACTTGTATGGGTTACAAAGATACAAACAGTTCAGACGCAAAAATAATTAACCTCGGTATGAGAATCGAACAGGTGATCGTAACTTCAATGACTGTGAATTCAAAGTAACCGTTGCCACACTACACTTTCCGTATGGTGTCCAGTTTATCACAGGACAAACTAATTGGCAGGCGGTTTAAAAATAGTTCGGCGGATGACAAAAATGACGAAAGTGCGTAATTTGGATGGAGGTGGATGACTCCATTCAAGGTCTCTGTTATGTGGACGCGCCCAAACCATCGTGCCCAGAACACACAGAAATTGACAGCCGGCGGACAGCCATGTCATCAGATATCACATGTAACAAACAACCAAACACTATTGCGCCACCACTTGTTCAAAATGTTCCCAGTGGAAAAAAATTCGGGCAGTGTTGGAAAACCGCCAATAAGCGGAACAAACGTTGTCATAGTAACCGACCGGACTCATTCGAAATTGGATGTGCAACACAACTTGGCCACATGTTTGTATCCCAGACAGTATTCCCATGCGCTAAAGGAAACCAGCCCAAGGCAGAGGATGTTGGTCTTTCGGACGTTCCCGTTGGGGGGCGAGTTTGTAGCAGATCAGGTGATCAGGCTACTTCTGATGTCGCACAGACCCAAGGAAAAAAAAGAAGACTGGTAGTCTGACAGAATAATGGCAGCCCCGTGACTCTGTTCATACGAAGGCTGGAAACGACAGAACACAGTTCCTCATTCAGGCCATCAGTTTGTCGCACAGACCCAAGGAAAAAAAAGAAGACTGGTAGTCTGACAGAATAATGGCAGCCCCGTGACTCTGTTCATACGAAGGCTGGAAACGACAGACCACAATTCCTCATTCATTGCCATCAGTTGCCCAAAAAAGGTCAAGGTGAAGACCACTGTGCTCACAAAGTTGCTGAGATCTCTTTTAAGAGCTCCGAGCAACGTTGTGTTTGGGGTGCTCGTTCTCCAGAAAAGTTTAGTGCGACATCTCGTACCAGCCGAAACATCAGACAGCCTCTGTGAAGCAAACCCAGTTGAAGAATACCAGTTTGGATTCAGTTTGACAATAATTTCAATCCACATTGTTTGAAAATATTTTAACACCTATGATGAAAAAAGGGCAGCCATAAGTACACAGTCACAAGCAAACGTACACTTGCAAAGTGTGTGATACCTTAACCCTGACGACCATCATATGGCATGAAGCATGAATAGCTGTCATCCACATTGGATTCGCCGGTCAACTTTGGTCGAGCCACTGGACGCCCTGGGCGAATGCGTGGCTGAGCGCAAACCCGATTTAGAGGTCTGCGGCCGGGTGTGCACATGCCTGTTGCTAGCCTTCGGTCGGCCTAGACATGGTCGCATCATAATGGACAACGGCAAAAAGTACTTATCGATCATCGAGGTATTGGCTTTATCCATTAGTTCCTTGCAGGTTCAGTGTAATATCGGACTTCTCCTCGTATACCGCTATGCAACTGTTCCCGGGGGCCACTCCTAATACACTGTGAAGGTGCTGTTGGATTACTTGGTGATATCCAGTTAGGCCTACAACTGACAGAGTTGTCATCCTTGTGGTGATAATAGCCCTAGGTACCACCCTTCAAACTGCCCCAAAGTGATAAAACGAGCAATGACAGAACACAATGTTGAGGCACCATTGGTTATTTTCCAGCGTCTGCGACAAATTTCCGAGAACGGATTCACCAAAGTTATCAAAAGCGTCATTCTTACTCGCAGTCAATCCCCTGGAACCGGACTTGGGACACTGTCGAAACCCCGCCCCGGAATCTGCGCACGGTTGCGTCGAACCTGTGTGACAACGAGTTGAGTTACTGTATCTGTCCACCTTTTTTGCTCAGTTATTACAGCGTCCATTAGCTGCATTGTATGAATGCACACTGTTCAATATGGTGGCTCGCTCATTTTTCTCTTGGATTGTGCCTTCTTTTTAAGGCTTATCTGATGACATCATCATCGCTTTCTCCTCAAAATATGGAAACCAAATAAATGTAGGACCATGTCACTCACTGATCAATTTCTTCCGCAGATCAAGACGACCTCAGGTCACATTTGCTCACTCCGCGTGACGAACCTTCAGGTAGGATCGCAAGAGAGACAGAACGAGTGAAACGATTCGCGAACCGTATGAAAAATGTGGAAAATGTGACATCCTAGATTGATAAACCTAAAGCGAATGCTCACTCCGCGTGACGAACCTTCAGGTAAGATCGCACGAGAGAGAGAAAGAGTGAAAAGATTCGCGAACCGTACGAAAAATGTGGAAAATGTGACATCCTAGACTGATAAACCTAAAGCGAGGCGTTCTTAATTCCTTTGTCATTGGTAACAAAGAATGCATCGTGACTTTGGTGTGTCGAACATTCACTCAAGCAAAGCCATAGTTACCTTTTTTGGGGAATACCGCCACATAACAAAACATACTGTCACCTTTTTACTATCAAAACTTTGTGATAAACGTACACCTAGAAACACTTTAGAGATCGCTGCATGCAAAATCGACCTTGATGGCAGTGTGGAGATATTTGGGGGAATTTTAATGAAGATCTCGTCCCGTGAATGAAGCCAATCTGCGCTGAAAAGCCACTGTTTCATCATCAACAGTGCGCATCTAACGAAACTCAGAGTGCTTCAAACACGTGACTTCCCGGGTAGTAGTTTGAACACTTAACCTTTCGGCCACAAGCCGCTGATCAATATCATGATTAGTTCGAACTTGAGCGGAACACAGTCCGACTCATGCTCCAATCACGGAGCAGGTGGTCACGTGTTGATCGACCAGTGAATGACAAGTGTGTTTGCTTTTTTCTCATAGCATAGATTGGCTTCGGTTACAGGACTGACTGCCCGAAGCTGTGTGATTCACATCAGAATGTAGTTGATATCGCTAATCAGCATCAAACACATCTGCGAACCGCACACCGGACACAGAGCGCGAATGCGATCAATCGGTGCCAAGAGTCACGGGTTGTTGTTTTTTATATAAATAAAAAACAACAACCCGTGACTCTTTCTCATCACGTAAAAGTTTTGGACGAACGAAGGCTTATTAGCAAATCTCAGTTCTGTTCCCTTTCACCTTTCACACTCAGTGGTTAGGGCGCGAATTTACAGATCGGAAGGTCCGTGGTTCGAACTTGACCTCCGCCTCTTGATTTCCCCTGTCTGGGCTTGGGCAACCTGGCAGCAACCCAGCCCTGGTGCTTTCTTCTGACGGCATGCCGGTTAGGCACCGAAAGATTGCTACAGCCGAACGATTTCTCTCAACTTTCCAACTGCAACAGGTGTGGCGATGTGGTGAGCAACCTGGTCTGCTGGACGAAGCAACAGGGTTGTGATTGCCAGTTTGCTAGCTGAACTAGACCGGAAGCAAAGAAGTTACGCGACCCAGTAGTGTCGGCTATCACAGGTGTAGCAACCGGTGTAATGTACCTTACCGTTCTCTCTGGCTAGTCTCATTTTAAGACTATTGACCTATAAACAGTTCTTAGCATGTGTGGTTGTTTTTCCGAAATTGGGGAGAATGAAATGATGTGGTGTGGATTCATCCCAAAGGTTTGTTTCATCAACTTTTAACTACCGGGTGCCGAGTTCATGAATGCTCTGATCCCGAGTGTGGTTCACCAGTGTAAGCTTGCGATGAACCCTAAGTGAGCTTGCTCGGCTTTCGGAGGCTTGTTACCGATCACCGTGTTTAGGCAGTCGCAGTAACAGAGACTGACTCATTGTCGCGCAGCAGATAGCCGAATTGAAATAAACTAATTTAACCAGCAAACGAAGGATTAGCCGACTGTGAGAGAACTGGCTAGATAATTGGTGATATACGATGGATGATGGACAAAAGAGAACAATAGCGGACTCAGGCACGTGGTATCTAAAAGCCACAAAATGTACGACTTTCCGCAACATCTACCATCTGCCTACTGATCAATCTAGACAGATGCAGTACCACACACTTTCAGTGGTCGACGCTATGGCCATCCGACCCCATGAACCGACTGGTTGTCGAATATCTCTTCTTCATGGCCTAGCTCTCCTCCCCTCAATACGCATACACTTCCAGTTCTGAGCACAACCTATGCTAACAGGCTCAAATGACATGAACTAGATGTTTTTACCAAGTAGTCAGACGCACATTCCTCAAGTTTTTTGGGTTTTCTCTAGGTTCATTGCATTGCATTGTCCATTTGTGTCTTATCTGGTGGGAGTGTATGGTCTGCGGAAAAATTGCAGGAGCCGGGGTCGTCGACCCACTGTTGTCGTTAATCTACACGAAAATATTCGGAATCACCAACGAACCGAAGGGTAAGTCTTCCATCTTTCGCCTCCGCAAACTGATCCTTGGTTGGGTAAGATGTTCACTCAGAATGTATAATATCGGCCCTTGTCTGATGCTTTTTTTTAAAAAAGGGGGGACAAGGGGGAAAATAAGCCATGCATCTCTTGGACCCTTGCTGAGGGACGGGGGACAATGCAATACTGCTTGTTAATTTGAGCTACTAGAAATTATTCAGTAGGCAGTTTGTCCAACACAATTTCTAGAAGAAGGAGCGCATCGGAACGACGATTGGAAACACAAATGAATTACTGTTTTTATTTTGATTAAAATTGTCCTATTAAGTCCCTTCAGGTTTCTGGGTTCCGCTGTCTTCCCATCTAACCATGTGTCTGAAAAAGTTCCTTTCTGAAGATGGCCTAATCCGCTGTCTGGAATCATACGCTGCTTCCTACCCCACCCTCTTCAAAGGACTACTGGAATAACGACATTGGGTTACAAAGTGAGATTTAAGATGAATCTACACCTTCCAGTTCCAGTGCTTCAACTGGGATGCGACTACTCCGCTTTGATGTGATGTTTGCATTTGTACTATTGACCGTTTCCCGGCAATTTTCGTTTTACTGATTCTGGATGAACTTGAACAACATTATCCGATAGTGACTACCAAGTAAGTCTTCATACAGAATATTGAGTGTTTCAGTGGCTACTCAATACTCAGTGAATGGGTTTATATCAAACTCAGCTGAAAGGCAGTCATACTATTTGGGAGACTTTATTATAAGAAAACGAACGAAATGCCAACGACCGCGCTGGGAAATCTGCAAGCTTGGTGAGGACCGCCGTGAATACATCTCTTAGAGTAGCCCACGAGTATAATGAGCAGGCGAACGTGAAATTCTCGGTTGTTCCTCAAGCACTGGGTGACCTCACATGCCCTCTGGATTTCGAGTCACGAGAGTATCTTTGTCGTGACATTTGAAGCGCTGAAACTCAAGTGATACTGTGTTTTGCCTTGTGGATGATCGTGCAACTCTGTATCTGTCCCTTGGCTTCCTGCACCGCCCACTATGGTATATCAAAAGGCACGGTAGCTCTAGACAGCCCATTATGGAAACAAAATAAGATTATTACAACTGCATTTATAGGGTAGTCACAGAGTGTTCCACAAGGTCGTGCTAGAATCTCCGTGAGAGGGCGAGAAGCGTCGAGTCAGAGATGCTCGATCCGGATTGGCTGGCATTCAGACCAGTCAGAGCATGCCTTCGTTTGGTCCGTGTCCTGCACGTGACACATCTGTCCAAATGATGTGATTTTCGGTTATTAGGGGCGGCTGACCTCCGGGCATACTGATCAGCAGCCCATTGGTTTACAAAATTACTTACCAAATAAGAATATGTTGTAGACACTCCACTCTAGCCAACGATGAGGTACTCCATAAGAAACCTACTCTATGTTCACATTTCCTCTTGGCTCATCAGTAACAAATCACAGACAATCAGTAAATAAATATTTTGTGGCCCCTACACAACAGATTGGATTTAAGGCCTTGCTTTGTTTTCCTCTACACAATCTGAGGTTGTGATCGTCGGTTTGTTGCTTGAGCTGGGCAATTTGATTGCACCACCAATCGAGGTGACATAATCAGTGAGATCGTAGGGAGAGGAGTAGAATGTAACGATGGGTCAGTGGTTGTGCACTGAGTAGTTTTGTGTGTTACCATACATAATGCTAGTCGGGGCCAACCTCCGATCACGATTGGTTGTTCGGTCAGGCGGTTCCATTAGTTGCTTCATTATCCTGTATCCTGATTGACCGATGACCACGTGGCCTTTGAGCTTGGCCTACTCTGCTCTCGTGCTCTGTTCTGGACCCTTCTGGATTCCAGTTTGTGGACTTTGTCGATCCTACTCCAAGGCGTTTCTTGTTTTCCTTTGCCATACGCATCACCGCATGGGGAGTTATCGACGTTATTCGGTCCTACGTCGCGTAAGTAAGCGACTGGACTGCTATAAGAAAGTGGTAAAACTGATTCAGGCCAACTGCGTATCGGTTCGTCCGGATAATATTGCAGAAACCGATCCCATTAGTTTTAACAGTCGGCGCTTGCTGCTGAACAATCTCAGCTGAGGAAACCAAACTAAGCTCGCTGACTGAACGATCGATATCTTTCAGTAGGCTGCATGTACAGTCAGAACGTACAGCCGACTGCCAAGACTATTCAAACTTCAAGCACTTCCGAAAGTAGAATCAAACACTCCTACCGCTGCCTAGTGGATCGCGAGATAACTGGGGCAAATACAAGGGGGTTTCGGTAGGCGCGAGCGTTCGGCGAGGTGTGGGGCTACGCCGAAATTCCAGTCATTCGAAATATGCCACGCATAGAACAACACCAGGTAAGCCTAACCCTCTCCGGCAAACTCTAGATGACAGATTCGGGTGTGATCAACTGCAGGCGCTCGTTTTCAGTATCAGCCCACAAAATGTCACGTGAGCGGTGCAACCGGAAAATCCATTAAGTCATACAGATACAG